TCTGGAAAGCCCCATCCCCCCACCCCCTTTCAACCCCACCCAGTCTGAGAGTCTTTGAACAAAGAAAAGGTGTCAAAAAGTCCAGTGCTACATTCTTGTGACTATTGCAATTTCCTCCCCTGTTGCCACCAGCAGCCCAAATTCCCACCTAAGCACTCAGCTTTTGACCATACTTGGGCACAAACCCAACTTGTGGAGGGCACATCATCACCCCTGGCCTACAACCTATAAAATCTCCCAGCTTTAGTTCTGGGGGAGCTGGGTGCAGAGAGGGGAGTGCAGTTTCTCCAACCTTGATCTCTATGACTCCAGTAGCTTTGCACTGGGATTTCTGCAGTTACAATCTCTAGGAGTTGCTTTGCTCAAATAAACCTGTTGTTATACTTTTTTCAATTTGGCTTGATCCGGCCTACTGCAAGTTCCAGAGATTGCAACTGGATCTGCTCATAAAGAGAACTCAATAAAACAAAGGTCTTGGGCACCACTCAAGGTGACCTAAGACTGATGTGTCTCTATCAAAGCCCTAGTATAGATTTTCACAAATAGACAATGTCATTGTAAAATTTACGTGGCTCATATACTAGAAGAGATAAAACCCTCAAATTCTAAGGAAGAGCCAGCTAGGAAAACCAGTCCCCAATATTAAGGTCTAGCAGAGAGAGTACTGGAAAGGATACAGTATTGAGAATGGGAAGATAGCTATTTTCACTACTGTAGGGAACCCCTCCCCCCACAGCTGCAGGAAACAGTGTGTAACTAAATTCCCAGTTAGTTGCCAGGCAATCCAATAAAGAAAGGATAGCCTTTCTAACAAATGGTGCTGGATCGCCACTCACAAAATAGACTGAAATTTTCACGTAGTGTTGACACCTAAACATGGACTATGAACTTAAATGTAAATTATATAGCTAGTAAAGTTTCAGAAAAACATATGGGACAAAATTGTCAGAGACAGGAACAGCATTCTTAGATTTGATAACAAAGTTCATTCATAACTGGAGTTCATAAAATGAACTCAAATACTGACAAAATGTGCTTTGTGAAAGTTTGTTAAAAGAGGATACAACAATAATCCACCCACTGGGAGGAAGCATTTGCAAGCAGTAGAGCAAATACAGAATTCACAACTAGGGTAGAGAATGAGCCCACAAATCTCCACAAGAATAAAGAAAAAACCTAAAACATATAATTAGAAAATGGGAAAAGATATGAACAGATATTTCACTGGGGAGAAAAAAAAAAAAAAAGATGTCACCAATCACTCCAGGAGATGCCTCACATCTGTCCTGTGCAGATTGAAACCAGGATAAGACATGACACACCCATCTAACTGGATAAGATGACAACATAGAATGCTGCTGAGATGTGGAGAAACTGGATGGTCCAGGTGTTGTTGGTGTGGGTGAAACAATTTGAAAGTCCTCTGTTGGACTGTGTGTGCACTTACTGTAGGAGGCAGACACCACATTCCCATTTATCCCAGAGCAAGGAGAGTTCGTTTTCAGACCCAAAATAGGGATGCTGTGGAGGGTTAGGCCAGCATCATTTTTGTTTGTTTGTTTTTTGTATCTATCTATGTAGCTCTGCTTGTCCTGGAACTCATTGTCCTGGAACTCATTGTTCAGACTAGTCTTGAACTCACTGAGATCCCCTTGCTCTGCCTTGGGGCAGGGGCAGGGGTAGGGGTTGGGGGTGTGTGTTTGCCAGCTTTCCTCTCAATGTCCTAAAACTGAAAACTGCTCAGCTTGCCTTTTACAGGAAGGAACTGGCTCAACAGTTATGCGTCCTTACACTGTGGAATATTGCTCTAAAACGAAGAGGTTCGGATTTCCTGTGAGCTCATTTATGCAGACAAGCTCTAGTGAATGAAGTCATGTGAAAAAGTCCATTCTGTCAGTTAGGCACAGTTTCTGAGAATACAATGTTTTCTTTTTTTGCAGTGACAACGTTTGTAGGAGTGGAGCACAGGACAGTGGACCCAGGTCTCAGGTCTGTGGTGGGTGGAGGGAAATGGATATGGGTGTGGAAGAAGGCACGAGGGAACCTTTGTAAATGGAACTCTTTAGTGTGTTGACTGCTGGCATCCCACATGTGACAAAACTGTATAGGATGAAATCCAAAACTGAGTCTAGGAAAACTCAGCCAATTTGCATGATGTTACTGTCCCGTGACAGCATTCTATGGTTTATGTTATGTTTTTATTGGGGGAAGTGGGCGTACATGGGGGCACAAAGGATCCCTCTACATCATTATTCATTACAACTTCACAGCTATCTTAATCAACAAATCAAAGGTAGGATAAGAGTTTCGATTTCAAGGGTGCCACAATAAGTAGGCTCCACCCAGGCTGGAAAGGCTCTCAGAGGTGACCTTTAAGTTAGATCTAAATGAATAGACAATGCTTTGGCAGGTCTTGGAGGTTTACAAAATGACAATAGGCAGAAGAGGGAACACCCGGGAGCCTGACCCAGCCTTAGGTTGCCTGTGTTTACACACCAAATTCCTTTCCTAAACTGATTTCTGACCCTAATAGGGCAGGACCACCAATCCCTCAGTTTATATCAACAAACTTTTGAAGATTACCTATGACAAAAGTCAGTGTGAAACTTAACTAACTTGTATTTTGATTTTGTTGTTCTTGTTTTGCTTTTTGAGTCAGGGTTTCTTTGTGTAGCTTTGACTTTCTTGGAACTCACACTGTAAACCAGGCTGGCCTCCAGCTCACAGAGATCCTCCTGTTTCTACCTCTTGAGCTGGGACTAAAGGCCCCCACTATCTGGCCTAAAGAAGTATCTTTTGAGCACTGAATTCTCAACTGTGATGGAGAGTTAGAGGTTCCAATCTGATAAGAACCCACTCTTTATACATACATAGACAGTTGCATCTCAGCCCACCACCATGCACAGCAGCTTTGTTCCCTTGTAGGAGTCAGCAAGCAAACCTCAGCAGTATTCCAGCAACTCTTTGAATTCTCGGGATGCAGCTTCACCAAGTGCTCCAAGGCTGGGCAAATCTTCCAGACATCCTACCTGGGAAATTCTACATCTTGCCAGTAACGTTCCCCAAAAGTCAAAAACCAGAGGTGCAAGCCAGCCATCGGTATTGTCCCATTTTTGAGCCCAGTTCATAAAATTTCCTGGAGATTCCATCATCCTCTTTTCTTTGAAGAGACGCTTCCTGAACAGGCTCCACCTTCAAATCCGTAGCCCTTACTAACAGCATCTTCAGGTTATTTGAATTCCATCAAAGGAACAGTCACTGGGAGGACAGGAGGCCATGGAAGTTCATGCTTTGTGAGTCCGGTAAAAAGTCCTCAGGGCTTCAACTCTGAGCTGTGGGAGGGGGCAGGGTGTGACTCTGAGTACAATAGTAGTCTTACCTTCAGCTGCAGGCAGCCTGTTAATTTGTGTGACACAGAAGTACGTGGCCTTCTGCACGCAAAGCAGAGGGAGCTTTTCCTTTCATTCCCACTAACAATAAAAATGCTGGCTGTTACCCACGGTGGCCCCACCTAATATGGCCAGCTGACTGTTTGAAAATGTCTACCCACAGTGAGGGGTATTCTAGAAACTAGCTCATAAGAGGGAAGGTTCTGTCCCAGGGCAGAGCTCTAGAAAGCCATATAGCTGCTGGATACAGTGTAACAAGAATCTCTAGTTTGCAGTGTGCCACTTAGCCATAAGCAGGGAGACAGAAATTTGTTTAAAAAAAGAAAGAAAGAAAGAAAGAAAGAAAGGAAGAAAGAAAGAAAGAAAGAAAGGAAAAGAAAAAGAAATGGTTTTACTTATATTTGAACCCGAGCCAGATAGGTGGAGAAGATAAAGCCCTTCTTCCTATTTTGCCTGTACTAGAATTACAATGAACAGGAAAGCCTGCAAATGTGCATATGTAGATTTAGGGGTGGGACAGGATAACAGAATTATTTCCTGGGAGAAAGTTGCTCTTCTAGCTCAGAAGTTCAGGCTGTTCTCACACCATCTTTACACTTACTTACAGGATGTGTGTGTGGGGTGGTGGTGGTGGGGAGATGATGGAGGGGATTGGTTAGCTGTCACCAGCATCTGGACCAGGAATAGGAAAAGAGCAATCGTTGGTGGTGTGGTGTGTGTGTGTGTGTGGGGGGGGGCACACCCTGGTTGCTGTTCTGTAGTTAGAAGTTGCTCTTGGGTTTTGTTACTGGACAGTAATGGGGCATCATTCTCTGGTGCTGCTTGGCCTTGGACTAAGTCAATTGCTTAAGTCAATGCTTAACGAAGATTCACCAAGGCCCTGGGGATACTCTGGCCCACACCTTGAGCCTTGGGGTCTTTCTGCCTCACAAATCAGCTGAGGTGGCTCTGACAGCTCTGCAGGTCCTAGTTTTGCTCTCTGCAACAGGCTGTGCTGATGTTGATCTCAGAGTGGCATAGGAAATGTCCCATACAATTTTGTGTTCAGGCTTAGTCATTTGCAGAATTTCGTGACTGAGAATTTGGTCTTTGGTCTTTTGAATCAGGTGAGCTTCACTTGCAGATTCTTAGAAGTGAATGGGAGATACCTTAGTCTTCCCAGGAGCAGGATCTTAGGCAATTCTGCTACTGTCTATTCTCAGGAACCTAGGACCTTGTGGGAGGCAAACAGTGGTTGTGCTGGGCTGTATTCACTCCCCCTCCCATTGCTAAACCTATTTGTCATTTCACCAGAGTGCCAGCTAGCTGGGGAAGCCAGGCTAGGAATTGTGTGAGGAGAGGACTGGCAGGCCCGGGTGGCAGCTGGGGGTGGGGAATCACAGTGCCGGGCAGGGCAGAGGTGCCTTCTGCCAGATAGTGACTGAATGAATGAGTCACTTCCCCTACTGGGCAAGCGCTCCCCTGGCTTTCCCTCAACTACGGAGGATATCCCTGGATCAGGAAGGTCCCAGAGGAAAAGGGAAAACAATTTCAAAACAAAGCAGAAACTGGCCCGAGATACTGAAAGGACACGGATACTGAAAGGACATAGTTGACAACAACCTCGTTCCACATTCTTGACCTCATCCACGCGGTCATTCATCTCTGGTACATTCCTTCACTATTTCCAGATAGATGGACCTGGGCCCTGGCTCTAGAGGTGATCTTGGGTAGCCATACAGCCGCTTCCAGACCGTTTCTTTGCCTATGGAACAGGTGAGATCGCAGCTTGGGTACGATTTCATCCATATAGTAAGGGAGCCTGTTAGAGCCACAGGGATGGCTCTGGATAACTTAAAATTGTCAGCTGTCCTCAAACCATAGCAAACAGAAGATGAAGGCTCCCGGGCAACTTTTCCGGGTTCAGGGTAAAGAGTTAAGAGAGCCACAGAAGGTGAGGACGGGGTGTGTCTGGGAGAGCAGGCCCTGGGTGCTGTCAGCTGAGCCCTCGGGTGGCGTCGATGCCGGGCAGTGACCCCTGGGCGGGGCTGAGGGTGACAGATCCGGGGAGGCGGTTTGCGGCCGTCCAGGTTCTTCTTTCTGGTCTGTTCCGTCCTTTAAAAGGTCTGACACGCCGCTTCTCTCTTACGATTCTCCAGCCTTCGGAGCCTTTCGCGCGGCTGGTCGGGACGGAGGGGTGAGCGAGCGCTCTGCTTTGTCGGTTCATCGCGGGATCTCCCTGTCTGTAGGTGAGGACACCAAACACCACGGGAATCGGGGCTACCGCTAAGACGAGAACCCGCAGGGAGCGGGAGGGTGAGCGAGGTGAAAGTGGGCGGACCGCAGCGCTCAGCGAGCACCGCGCCCGGGATGCTCGCTCGGGATGCTCCGCTAGGTGTCCGCTGGCGACCTCTCAGCAGATGAAGGCGCAGGCGCCACTCTGGGGGACACGGAGCCTGCGGGGGACGGAGGAGAGCTCGTGAGGCACGAGCAAGAGAGGGAAACATGTAAGGAGAGTGCAGCTGAGAAAACAGGCGAGGGATGTGAAAGTGAAAGGCCAGAAGACGCCTCAGGTCCTTGCGGAATGTCCAGTTCCTCACCCGGAAGAGAGAACCAGAATCCTTGCATAGCTCAGGCCACCCAGAATATAAGAGCTGGAGGCGTTACACCTGCCTTTTCATGAAGGACGGAACAAAGTTTCATTTTGATCACCCGTATGGATTTCCTTGTAATTGATTTACCAAATGTTATCTCATAAAATATTGGCTCCAAGTTGTTTGGCTGAAGTTCAACCGGGAAACTCTTGTAGGGTGTATTAAATGTCACTACCTAATTTGCAAGAGACCTACCTCACGTTACTGTTCTCTGATAACATACTTGCAGAGTGAACCCAGAACTCCGCAGTACTGCTCAGTGTCACATCTCTCTCCCTCCAGGGCTTGGTGGAGTGACTACAGGTGACTGGGGTGGTCTCTGACACTTTGGCAGCCTTCCCTGGACGTGGACCTCCAGTGCCTTGACAGTAAGTTATCCAGGAATACTGACTGAGTCTGGGGTAGAAAGGCATGCTTCCCAAGAAGGCAGAGGAGGGGCGTTTTAGATGTATGTTCACACTCTGTTATTATGCCCTTCTACTTTTCTCTCTCTCCCAGTTCTTTTTGCCTTAGTTCTCTCTTGCTGGTGCTATATGGGGTTAAAAAAACAAACAAAAAACCAAAAACACATTGGTTCCATTCATATGCTGTAACCTAGTCCTTTAAAAAAATATGGTGACTTCCTTGAATGGAGTCTTAAGCTGTCTTTGCAGGCTAAAGAGCCATTCACAGGGCCTGCCATTGTTGCCCTCTCTTTCAGCTTGTGAAGTTTGTGCCCCATCTGCATTTTGGGCTAAACCACCCTTACTTCTCAGCCAACTTGCTATTGTTTTTTCCCTTCTTCAGAGGCCAAGTGGACCTTCTAGTCTCAGCATAACTCTCATTATTGCACATGCCTTTAATTCAGCATGCTAATCTTGGGTACACATTATATTCTTCGTTCTGTTATACTTTCAGCACTCTTAAGCACTCATTAGTTTTTCTTTTCCTTGGCTTTTTGTCAAAATGCACTCTTTTTTTTTGACTGACTACAGAAATCTTACTTTAAAGCTAAGTAAAAATCATATGCATGACAGAAAGAGAAATTTCCAGGTTTTTGTTCTCCTTACAGATAAGCACTGAATAGTTTCTTTCCAATCTCTTTCCTCTCCTCCCTCTCCATTTCACACAAAACACACACAGATTGACTTTTAATATACATTTCATTACAAAAAATGTAAATCCTTATGCACTAAATAGTCTATTTCTCTGACTTTGTTATCTTAAAGATCACCAGTAAAGTTGAAATTTAAAATCTCATTGATGAGTTTCATAGCAGGTAGAGGAGCCAGGATGTGCAGAGGGAAAGGGCTACTTTCTAGTGTTCTGTGAAGTTCCTCAGGGCAAGCTAAACCAGCAGGTCCTGTGAGTGTGGAGTACAGCACTGGGCTGGGGGCAGATCCTGTCAGAGCACTAGGCTGGGGGCAGTAGCAGATGTCTTGAAGAGGCTGGGTGAGTACCTTTCTCTGTGATGAAGCTGGGGGGGTGTGAATGTTGGGAGGAAATGCTTTCTACACTTAGCTTTAGTGTGACATCTTCCTGAAGTACAGAGGTCAAAGTGTACCCCTAGAGTAGCAGGTGGGGCTTTGGAGGAATGTCGGCTTCTCAACAAAAGCAGAGGAACCACCACAGCCCCCACAGAATGTCCTGCCCCGACCAGAGGAACCTAGTTATTCGTGGGTCGAATAACTGAAAATAATGGGAGAGAAAGAAGGAACGAGACCAAGCAAGGTTTGTCAAGGTCTAACTTTATTAGGCACAAAGAGGAGTTTTTAAAGCAAAGCGGGGAGGAATTGGGGAGGGGTAGCTTTGCCAACTTTGGGGCTCTGGTAATGTCCCAGGCCATAAACATCTGCTTATCTCAGTTTCTGGGGTGAGTGGAACAGACTGCTTGTTAAGCAGTTTTCTGTTTTACCAAGATAAGGCTCAATTAGAGTTTTAAGGTGTAAGTAATTCTGCAAGAGGATGTGACTCAAGGCCAGCTCCCAACAATGTCCAAGTGTGGCTGCTTCACCTTAAACCTCCTTTTCAAAATATTCTATTTTTACTTATGCAGTGTTGTGTGTGTGTGTGTGTGTGTGTGTGTGTGTGTGTGTGTGTGTGTGTGTGTGGTTTTTAAAGGCAGGGTTTCTCTGTATAACAAACAGCCCTGGCTGTCCTGGAACTTGCCTTGTAGACCATGCTGGCCTGGAACTCAAAGAGATTCCCCCTTTCTCTGCCTCTGCTTCCCATGTGCCACCATGCTTGGCTATAGGAAGCATTCTTAACCTGGACCAACTCTCCAATTCATAGCGGTCTTTGCAGAATGATCTTGGACTTCACTTGGGCTTTTCCTAATTGCTGATTCCTGGGATTTGTGGACCCCAACTCTTACCTATCTTCTTGTTGTGGAGCAAGTGTTACCCAACATGCAAAAGTAGCTAATGCAAGGCTAGGCCACCCAGAGTGTAAGCTCAAAACTGACTCAATGGGGCGGAGTCATGGGAAGAGAAAGCAGACTGTTGGCAAAGCAGCAGGAGGCAAGTGTTTCCTTTTGTTTTTCACTAACTAAAATGTCAACCTAAAACTTTTTGAGAGGAGTTGTGCCCTGTGTTTTGGGCTTTAAGCTTATGACATCACTAACTGGATTCCCTCCAGTTGTGCCCATTCTTGAAAAGCTGCTTCCATATCCCGAGAATCATTAGTGAAAATTCTAGAGGCTTTTTTTTTTTGTGTGTGTGTCAGACGACTTGAGTTAAGAAAGTTCTCTTGGGTGTGTTTGGGCCTCTGGACTTCATGTTTCTCAATGCCAACTTTTCTGGCTCAGGTCTCCTTTTGTGGTGACCCCATAGGGTCACACCTACAGGTTTTGTGTTCCTGAGTCACGTTACTTCAACAAATGAGCTGTCATGAGCTCCTTTCATGGGAAACAACTTTGTCTTAGCTGGAAGTCAGCCCTTAGGATGTTGTCATCCCTGCACCCGCTGAAGTCCACATCCTGGCTCCTTGGGTGTGCACTTTCCCACTGACTGTCATTTTGCCATCCTTGCTGTTGCTCTTAGCCCTCAAATCCATGCTGGAGTGAAATATCAGAGAAAATTTGTGTATTCCAGCCACCCAATGCTTGCAAATTAGACGTCAAAAAACCAGACTGACACGAGAGCGGATTACTGTTCATGTAGATAATGAAGAGGGTGATTCAGAAAGTGGTTAGAATTTGGGAAGGGGCCGAGCAGCAGAGGAGCACACATGGCTTCTGAGAGAGTGAGGAAAAGGTGCTTTTGGAGAAACAATGTGTTTCAGCTGTTACATTTTGGGCGCTATAACGGTGAGTTCCTTGTTGTTGCTGTTCTGTTTTTGTTTTGCTTTGTAGTTCTGGTTGACCTTGAATTCTTTCTGTGCTCTAGGCTGCCCCCAGATGTGAGTAATCTTCCTGCCTCAGCCTCCTGAGTGCTGGGATGACAGACATGTTCTGTCCCACCCTGCTCCAGATGATTCTAAATGATCTTAAAAGCTCAACTGGGACTTCCGGAAAGCAGATGGGAAATACGCTAGTTTGGTTACCGTGGCTGTTTGGGTGCATCATAGTAAATACTAGAAGGGCAGATTACTGGCTCTTTGGATAGTTGAGTTGTTTGGGTAAGCTTTGCTTTTTAGGCAGAAGGGGTTTCAGTTGTTGGGTCCAATGCTGCTCTTGGTCTGTGATAGAATAGTTCCTCTTGGCGGGAATACACAGTGAAAGAGGCCTGTGCTGAGTCATGGTGGCCAGGAAACATGGAGTGGGGGAGGCTGAGGGGTCCCAGTATCCCTGATGGCCTAATTTACTCTCAAGACTCCCTCCTCAAATTTCTACCACCTTCTAATAGTGCCACAGCTGGTGACCAAGCTTTAACAGGTGGGTCTTCAGGAGACATTTCCAAATCAAAGCAACTACTGGGGTTTACTGTGAACCTCTTCATACATGTTCATCTTTCCCATTTACAATGCACTGTGGACCCTTCTCCTTGTCACCTCCAGGTACTCAAGGGGACACAGCTGTCTGGAGATCACCTCTTGATTGTGTCTTGGTTGCCTCTTGTATTGCTAAGCTGTTGGCCTTCTGTTTCTGTAGTAGAGGATGCCTATGGTATCATGGGCTTTGTGTTCCTTGTTTCAAGAGTCCTTTCTTGAATGGTGGGAATGAAGATTACGTACTAGGACCAAACAAGAAAGATGTGAGTGAGCCCTAGCTGCCTGGCTTCAGCTCCAGGCCAAGCATGGACAGAGATGAATCTGCTGCCTTCTGAGCTCATGAGAAGCAGGTCTCAGTGATCCCTCTGGGCTGGGTTGGAGTTTGGTAATTGTCTCTTGGTCATGGGTGTGGTTTCAAAAGATGTTTCTTCCTGCTCAGGTGTCTTGCTTTGAGGTTTGAGGCTAATGAGTGGTAAGTTAATCCAGGAAATGCTGAGTTATTGTCTTGCATTTGTCCTGCCCCTTTCATTCTGTCTGGACTTCTAAGGACTTCTAAGGCTGATGGCCTGTGGGTACCCAGCTACCCAGAAAGCACAGCCTGGGGTACATTGCTCCAGCCAGCAACAGGCCTGGTTAGCTCTGTGTTAAGTTGTCCCTATGCCATGCTGAGAAGAATTTGATCCTAGGGTTTAGACAGCTGAGGGGACAGACACATTACAGAGACTGATGCCAAGGCTCTTACCCAAGATGTGGTCAGGGTGGAAGTGCACTGTGTGTTTCCAAAGCAAACTGGGCAGCTGTTGTCACAGACGACAACGATGTGGAGGCTAATGACAGTTTTGCTTGTCTGTGTGACCCCCCTCCCCCACACTTTGGGGTGGGAGGACTAGCTAATTTCAGTTTCATTTAGAACAAGCGCTGTGATTTTGTGCTGCTGGTTGTCTGACACCTGAGTGATTCTAGAGACTTCCCGAGGGCATTTTATGGGTGACACACCTCACCCTCTGTCATTAGTCGAGTCATTTTGGACCCCACCCTCTTGGTTTGGTTGTAAGTGTCCCCTCTTCTGTAAAGTCTTCTGACCATGTGGCCTAACTGGTACTTTTCAGCAAAGCTGTTGTTGGCATGATTTCTGCAGGGTGATTGATGGGTAGTTTTCAAACCCTCTGGGAGATTGGTTTACCTGTGTTTGCGAGTGAGGGTGTTACCTGAGGATTACTAAGGGCAAGACTGCCTTGAATGTGGCCTTGAATGTGGCCTTGTCACCAACCCCCTGCCTTGGTATCCAGAGGCCACAAAAGGGGAAAAACTTCAGTATCCCTTTCTCAGCTTCTTGGCGCTACTTGAGAACATCTGTGCCCTGCTACCCTTTGCTACCAGAATGCATGGGCTAACCCTCTAAAGCTATGAGTCAAAATAAATTCTTCTTCCTAAGGACGGGAATTTGGCCACAATGATGTAAAAGCAGCTAGTGACAGGTTAAGGGCCCAAAGCTGATTGGCCTGTGGGTACCCTGCGGTTGCTGCCTGTTTCATGCACACTACCTGGGTTGATTGCTAGTCTGGGAGTATTCAGAACCCATATAGCCTTCTGAGAGCATGCTGGTTTTACCCTACAGTTCCTGTATTCGTTTATACTCTGTCCCTCAAAGAGATTGGTCCCTGGTTGTGTTCTTAAAACTTCTTGGCTCCCTTTCTTCTCTGCCCTGCATTCATCTCCTTCCTTGCTCAGTGATCTCACATACTGCATGCAAGCTCACAGTGTCCTGGGTCTTCATCCTGTCCCAGTTGTCCCAGCCAGACACTCTGTAGAGGAGAAGGGAAGTTACCCTTATGCCTCCTCATGGTTCACTCACAAAATCAGAAATTAAACAGGAGAAAGGGCTCGCATGTTTGTTTATTAATATGCTGAAAGGTAAGACTGTATTGCAAAAAAACAAAAAAAAAAAAAAACAAAAAAAACCAAAAAAAACCAAACCAAACCAAAACAAACAAACAAACAAAAAACCCCACAGGATCTGCCCAACTTCTTAACATTACCACAAGTGTAGGAACCTAAGACAGTTTTGAGAGTTTGTGAATGGTCATCAGGGAATGAAATGAGACAAGTCATTGGGATTGGAAGGAGCCTAGGGCCATACGTTCTGTAGTTTTACTCCATTATTATTATTATCATTTTTTTTTTTTTTTTTTTGCCTGTGATGGGATGGAAGTCAGGCTAGGATTAGGCTTTCTCATTTTCTCTAGGTCAGACTGAATGTGCTCATTTATTTATTACCTGTTAAATTGCTGTGATAAAAACACCTTGACCCAGGTAACTTAGAGCAGAGTTTATCTGAGTTTACAGCTCTGAAGGGGCAAAGACCACTATGGCAGGAGCAGCCTTTGTAGAGGCACAGGCAGGAAACTGAGCTTACACCTTTAACTGCAAACATGAAGCAGAGAGACAGGGCGGGGAGGCTTTGGGTCCCAAAGTCTGCCTCTGGTCTTATACATCTTTTGGCAGGGCCTTAGTGCCTAAGCCATCCCCCAATGGTGCCACAAGTTAGGGACCAGGTTTTCAAATGCTTGAGACTATGGGGTCATTTTTCATTCAAACCATCACATCAGAGATGCTTTTACACATGCCAAATCCCAAGGACACTGAGCAAAGGACCAGTTGCCAACTGCTGATCTCATTGATGTACAGATTTTCACATTCTTCAACTGAGGCAATACTGTTGTGCCTCCTGGGGTCTTTCACTCTTAGAGTCATCTTACTCGGCAAGCTCAGAATGTATTGTGCCGTTAAAATAATAGGTGGTGCCAGCAAGATGGCTCAGTGGGTAAGTTGCTGCTGAGCCTGGGCCTGAGATTGGTCTCCAAAACACATGATGGAAGGAGATCTTGACTCCCACAAGTTATCCTCTGACATCCACATATACATCTCCCCAATAAAGTAATGTAAACGTCAAATAGGTTTTGAAAGCCTCATTATGACCAGCATCCGTGTCCTGAGGGACAGCATAGGGACCACTTCTCACTACCCACGGGCTCTGTACTTCCTGTGACACTGCCAGGCAAAGCCGCCCTGCCCCCCTGTCCTGCCAGTCCTAAGTGCTCTTTTCCTGCACTGTGTTTAACTTGGGAATGTTGGTACCACACAGGATAAGGGAGCCTGTGATGCTTCTCAGTGCAGCACATGCCTGAGTTCCATCCTCAGTACCACCACGACGAAAACAATACAACTCACTCCATTGTTGGCTCCCTTGGTTGGACAGCAACAAGCTGGCATTTCCAGGCAAGTGTGTCACTGGTACCAAGTGAGAACAAAAGCCAGATATAAGGGACAGGCATCAACTGCAGGGGAATTTTGGCTCTGGAACCAACTACTGTAATGGTCTCTGGCTTGCAAACTTTACTGCAAACGAGCAGTATGTTTTGATAAAGAGTTATAAATACATAGCCCAGCTTTAGGAAATGTCGCCAGGCAGCCTGCAGTTTTACTGAGTGGCCTATGACCCATGGCTCTTCCTGATGCTCTGCTCTCCTTAGCTCCCATGTGATTACCAAGGAAACAGCTGTGGCTGCTGCTTTCCCCTGTAGGTTCTCCAGCCAGGCTGGCAGCAGCTGCCCACACCAGCTTCAGGCCCTTGCCCTCTCAACAGCGTCCTCTGAAGCTGGCAACTGGTCCACCTCTGTTCAAATCCCTGCAACCTCTTGTTTCTTTTAAACAGGAAGAGGATGTTCAAGACTTCCAGAAGGGAAAGGCAGAAGGGTGTGGGTAGGGCCAAAGATCGGACTGTTGCTGGGATGGGATGCTAGGAACCTTGTACTTTATTCCTAAAGTGTACACGTGTGAGGTCCACCCGTGTGGACTCTCTTTCTCTTTCTCTTTCTCTTTCTCTTTGTCTCTCTCTCTCCCTCACCCTTGTGGATTCTCTCTCCCTCACCCATGTAGATTCTCTCCCCCCCCCACACACACACACACAACACACACAGTGTATACAGCATACATTTCCATAATGAGCATGATGTAAGTGTGAAGAATTCTGCCTCTTTGCTCAGACTTCCCACATGAGTGATATCTCATACCACCCAGGTCCCTTTGGGTTGATTCTGTTTTTGTGATCCCTCCCGCAGGTCCTGCTACAGTGAGAGGATGGCAGCTACAGGAACGGAAGCAAAGGACCTCGAAAACCATCACAAGTAAGACTAACCCAGGTTGGGCTCTGTTGGTTTTACTAAGCGTTCTTTAATTAGCTTGGGTTTCAGAGTTCTTTACCTGTGTTACCATGTGATGCTCACAGCAGTGAGTGAGGGATGAAGGGCTTCAGAGGCCTTGCAAATATTCAGGTCCTTAGGCCTCAGGACATGTGGGTTCAGAAGACCAGGCAGGTCAGTGCTCAGATAGGTGGCTTTCAGGTTTCCTTTTATACGTGACTTTTTTTTCCCCCCCTGAGACAATCACCATGTATCTCCTAGATCAGCCTTATTTCTCAATCTTGAGTGGGTTCTTTCTCCCTGCTTTGTATGTAGTTTTTCATAATTCAAGTGTGTGCTTTTCATGAGTTCTCATAGGTTTAGGCTTTGTTAAAGAACCATACGTTTGTGTCTTTTTCTGACTCCAGTGTGTGTGTGTGTGTGTGTGTGTGTGTGTGTTCCTCCCCAGGGTTTTGAGCCTGCCCTAGTGAATGCATGGTCTGCCCAGAGCCCTCCTGCATGGGTTTGAAGTCCACATTTCTCCTTTCCCCGTGTCAGGGCGTGTGCCATCTGCTGGGGCTCTGTGAGGTGGTTCCCATCCTGCTTCAGTGTGGTCACAATTGAGATCCAGGAAGACTAAATATTCTTGTCCCCAACATGTCCCTATGAATCCTTTTACCAATGCATTGGGGACTGTTATAGCTCATGTTCATGTCAGAGTGAATGAGTTTTAAAATCATGCAATTCTCAGGGTTAGGCTCCTTCCTTCTGGTCTTCCTGGAATTGACAAGTTAATTTTTTTTTTCTCTCTGTGTGGCTGCGTTGTCTTAATCATATCCTGTTGGGTCATTTTGAAGCGTAAAAGTTGCTCTTCTGTTTTGTATTCCATATTCACCACATCCTGAAGGAGATTATGGTTAGATGCCTGAAAGTATGTTGTGATGGTTGGAGTTTCAGATTGTCCTAAAGATTAAAAGTGATTTCTGGGAAAGTCTAGCTGTATATACCCTGTATTTGGTCCCTCGAGAAAGAGCTTCCCCTCCCTTTACTCCTCCCCATTATAAAAAGCCAGGAAATCTGCCAGGAGCATGGGGTCAGAAGGTGGACACACTCTGTGCCTTGGCCAGGCTGCTTGCTTTGTCTAAGCAAGGTTCACAGGCCAGGGTGTGGTCAGCAGCGTTCCTGCTTGTATGACTGGTGTGTGTGTGCTGTGGATCTCTAACATTGTTCGGGAAGTGGTCCACCCACCCACCTCCTACTCCCTTTGTGAGACAGCTCTGACTTCTTTCTGAGTCCTATGCTATGCTTATCATAGCAGTCTCAAAGCTTCATGTGTTTACTTAATCTGCTCGAAACCACTGAGCCATCTTTTCATCCCCTCATGACACTCTTAGTGTCACAGTTCTGAGAAGTGGTACCTAATACAACAACACGCGAAAAAAGAAATTATAGGCGCTCAGATTGGAGAGGTTATCTCTGGCAATAGAGGAGATTTTTTCTTTTTTCCTATTTCTGTCTATATTTCTGATAGTGATCATTATTACTTTTAAAACAGTCAAGTTTATGTCCTGAATATAGTTGACTTGGATATCAACTAGCATTCTTTGTGTTGGATGGTTTACTAATTTGATCTTTGTAATTTTTCTTGGCTCTTCTGAGGTTTTGCCGATTGCCTCCAAACAGGGCTCTAAGAGCAAAGAGGAATTAAAGGGAAGGAGAAAGGGAAGTAGGGACCTTGGCACTGTGGCGTTATCTTCTTTCCGTGATTCACTTGCCTTTCCCCCATGGTGTCCCTCACACACCTCATGGATATAGAACATATTCGTGGTAATGCTGGCTGGACATTACACATCCATGTTCTATAAACCTTTCCCTTTTTGTTTCTAACAGTGACTGCTTCATTCAACTTCCAAATCCAAACATAGCAACAATGAAAGAAGATGTTCTCTATCATTTCAACCTCAGCACTAGTACACATGATTTCCCTGCTATGTTTGGAGACGTGAAGGTAAAATGCCCAGGCTTTGAGTCTGTGGATTGGCTTACACTGGACTTCCTTTTGGTACAGTTGCACCTATGTGAAGTTGATTGACAGGGGACAGGATAATATTCTATGTCTATCAAGACTTTTGTAAATTGTTACCTTTTATTTATAGCAAGTAAAAGAGAGAACAAATGTTAGCTAGTTGGCCTCTACTTCATCTCTTAGAACTTTTATATGAGTGTGAACAGGATAAGAAACTTCTGAGCCATGCAAGGTGGCCTATGTCTATAGTTCCAGCAACTCCAAAGACAGAGGCAGGAGAATCACCTCATCTTGGGAACTTGGGGGGCAGCCTAGACAACATAGAGAGCTGGAAAGGCCTTCTAAGAGTTGCAGTGTCAGTATGGAGAGCCTGTATGACCCCTGTTTGTGGAAGGTGTACATTGATGATTTTTTAATTATCTGAGGGAAAATTATGATGAAGACACCTCCAGTACAAAGTGTTCGGTGCTAATTTGTCCTACATTTTTATAAAATTCCTTGTTAAAATTTGTTTCTAATCGGCGCCTAAATGTTTGCATCCTTTTAAGGAACAGTGCGACACTCCAGTTCATGTCTGTGTTGTGGAGTGACAAAACAATAGTCAGCACATTCACAACTCAGGCACCAGTCATGCTTTGGGTTCCCAACACTCAGAACCCATCCACTGCTGTCTTGCAGTTTACAGCTAGTTACGTTAACTATAGTTACTGTACGACTAAAACAGGGCTCTTCAATAACGGTAGTTACCATAGGACTAAAACAGCACCCTTCAATGTCTAATCTCCATAAAGATGAATTAAAACCCAAGATGGGCTCAGAACACCAAAGCTGGGCCCCATCTGCCATTGGTAGAACGCGCCTTTGGTAGCAAATGGTGGGCAGCTTTCATGTTTTCTTAATTCGTTGAATTTCTATTTATCCCAATATTGCTAATCTATTTTTTTTTAATTGCAGGCCATGGAAATGTTCTTTCATGTTTAGAGATACGTTTATTTCTTTTATCTTCAGATTCCATTAAATCACCTTTTTCACAATTCTTTGGCAAAATAAAATGCCCTCTTAGATGACACTTGGCAAAGTGAAGGTTTTACTTCTCTTCCTACAAATTCATTCCCAAGCTCCTTCTGGACCGCTATTCTTTGCCACTCAGGTGACCAAGTGAGAGAGCGATTGATGGCCCATTTTAACACTGGGTTACAGGACCCTAACTCCCTTCCAGCACACGCTAGACTACTTCCTACCTGGTATGTAAAGCCAAGTGTGGTGCCTGCCAATGCCTTTTTAAAGAGTCTGGGTCCCTGCATGTGTGAAGCTGACTGCACTGTGCTCTAGATGCCTGTACTGAGCAGTGATTTCCTAGACCAGTGCTACTAAAACTCCCCAGGACCACCACCTTAGATAGTACAAGTCAGGCCTTAAAACTTGCTGCTAAGTTCCCAGATTAACACAATGTTGCTTGTCAACTTGAAGACCTCTCATAATAAGTGCATTGATGAGGTCCTCACTCTCTGGTTTCAGTTCGTGTGTGTTGGTGGAAGCCCTTCCCGGATGAGCGCCTTCATCAGGTATGTGGCCGCTGAGCTGGGCCTTGACCATCCAGGGAAAGAATATCCCAACATCTGTGTAGGCACTGACCGCTACGTCATGTATAAAGTCGGACCTGTGCTGTCTGTGAGCGTGAGTACTTGCCTTTCACTTGGATTTGGTCTCCATGTTCTGCAAGACCCTGTTCTGCACACTTCTGCCTGGGCAAACAGCTAACAGCTGGTGCCTTAACATTTGTTTACTGTAAATGGCTGGGAGCATGGTGAGCTCTGGGCAGCTGGCATCTGGGCATGAGAGTAAGTCCTAGGCTCCAGCCCTTGAGGCTTGGCTTCCTGGAGAGGCTCTGTATACAAAAGCAGATACACTTGTAAATACGCACCGCTGTCCAGGCAGTGTGGGGGTGGCAGGTGTCAGGGAGGGCTTCTCTGCCTGGCCCAGGGCTATAGAAGAGCCACATGCCAGGTCTCCATGCCTCTTCTATATCACACACTGACTGACCTGCTTTATAACACAGGTTGTAAGCAATGAAAGTTCTTACAGAGATCTCCAGTATCCTACCAAAGGGGCCATTTTCTAGCAATATCTAGGGATATAATGAAGAGCTACAGCTCAGCAGTGGGTCCCCATCCTGCTGAGATGCGTCTGGACATAGTAACTAGACCTCCAAGCATGTCAGTCATGTAGAAACACCCAATAGCAGAAGCATTTCCCTGTGTTTGACATTCTCAAAGGGGTCCCTTTGCAGTAGGACCCCCCCAGCATCTGCGTGGGGAGGGGAGAGGAGGTGTCTTAGGAGATCTGACTGTGGGAGAGTCTTTGAAAGGTGTGTGGAGTGGGGTTGCCTTGTGGTGGAGACAAGGAGAATATGGCAGAGGCAAAAGTACAAAGATTATCTGTGTCTGAGATTGAGGAACCAGCCAGTTATCTTGCTTTGCTAAACAGGAGAGGGCAAGAGAGAAGTGCAGTGGTAGAACCTTATCTGGTATGGATAAGGACCTTTGTTCTTGGCTTCAGCTGTCAAGAAATTACTATTACCCAGCAATAGGAGCTACTTTCTTCCACAGTGCAGGTTGTGTGAGTCAAGGTAGGTAGGTCATGTATAGGACAGCTCTGTTAATAGTTTGAAGTCTGTCCATCATTGCCACATGATGATTTTATTGGTTGAAATATACCACATAAAACATACAGTAATCTCCTTTCTCACATGGGCCTTGTTCCAAAGACCCCAGTGGACGTCTCCAAGCATATGAGTACTAAAACCAATAAATACACAAGACTCTGATGCATTTTACTTGTGAACTAGGTATAGCAAAAGAATGGCAATAATGACTCACAAAGTAGAATAATTATGGCTGCATAATATAATGAAAGTTAGGAGAATGTTCTCTCACGATCTCATTCTATGTATGCATTGACGAAGGCACAATGTTGGCACTTTCTCTCTGGTTTTAGCATGGCATGGGCATTCCTTCCATCGGGATCATGTTGCACGAGCTCATCAAGATGCTGTACCATGCACGGTGCACCAACATCACCATCATCCGCATCGGCACTTCTGGCGGGATAGGTGAGGACAGAGTTTTGATTCTGACCCTGTGGGTAGAGGAGGTGCCTGAGCCCTGCAGTGGGTCATACAGGGTTATACAAGGGCTTTCCTGTCTGCCTGTCTCCTCTTTCCATCAAAGTGATGGGGCAGGGGGTGCAATACAAAACTAACAAAAGGGCCTGAAATTAGCTCAGAAGTTTCTAATCATTGACAAAAACACCAACCCCCCAAAACAAAAGAAACAAAAAGCTAAAAACCAACCAACAACCAAAAAAACCCAAAAAGGAACAAAAAAACTCAAACCCTGAGCAAACATCCCCTTCCTCTACAAAAACCCACAAAGAACCTAAGAAAGGTCTGATTTCTGTTATAAAGACAAAAGGTCTGCTTGGTCATGCCTATGGCCCAGCCTTCTTGTTGGTAGTGTCTAGGGATGGCATAGGGGTTCATCATGTATGTGAGATGGGGGGAGTTGTGCCCCAGCCTCGACCACTCATCCATCATTAAATGATTCAGTGAATGAGTTAATCCATCCTTTAGGGTGGAGCATCAGTCACTTCACACACACTTCACATAGGTCCCACCCAGCCTCGAGCCTTCCTGTTTCACACAGTGGAGATTTTATTTCAGTGTGGATTTTAGCAGTCAGGTGTGTGTGCGCGCGCACTTACACACATGCACATGTTAGGCAATGACATACCATGGCATAAGTAAAAGTCTGAAGCAATAAAAGTCTAAAGCAATTTCATTTTCTTTTTTTCTTTCTTTTTTGTTTTTGTTTTTTTTTTGTTTGTTTTATTTTGTTTTGTTTTGTTTTTTTGTTTTTGAGATAGGAGTTTTCTGTCTAACAGCTCTGGCTGTCCTGGAACTCACTTTGTAGACCAGGATGGCCTTGAACTCAAAGAGATCCACCAGCCTCTGAGTGGGATTAAATGCATGTGACACCACCACTGCCCAGCAGCTCTAAAGCAATTTCTTATTTGTCACTAAGGAACTAAAGTCACTGTAGAAACTGGTTTCTAGCAATTCTTCAGAACACATGGCCATTGACTGGAAGCTGTATCAGCTCCTGGGACAGTATAAACTTAGATTTAGGCATCCAGATCTAAGTACACTGCTCTTGGAAGGTAGGATTTCAAACTCTCCTAGCAGTGGTCACATTGTATAAGAAAACATAAGCCGGACAGAAAAAGAAGAGCAGAGTTTTGTCCTTTGAAGCATGCAGCTAGTCCAAGAGGGCACACCCCAAATGCCCACACTGAACAGATGGTTGTTGGTGATTGCAGAGAAAAGCAGGCTAGTCAGGAGTTGGCTGCTTTTGAGGCACACATGGCTTTTCTATACTTTTGTATTGTGTTGAAAATTCACAAAATTAATGGAATGATTAAACTAACTTCCTAGAAACCTAACTAGCTGGTGGAGTGCTAGTTGGTGGCAATGCCTGGAAAACAGGACCATTTGGTAAAGGATGGGGAGACTCCTGGTGAGGTTGCTGTTCTCTGCTTTCCCTTGCTTTCAGCAATGGCTCTGTGCAAACTCCCAGTCAAGAAAAGCTCTGATTAGGAAAAGGGATGGATGGCTTCGAACACACACTGGGATGCTTCCTTATGGGGCTGTGATGATGGATCATGTTTGTGGTGCCTGTTCTCTGCTGCGCTGCTTTGTCACCCCATGTAACCATGATGCCTGCATCTTCCTCAGGTCTGGAGCCTGGCTCTGTGGTCATCACCCAGCAGGCCGTGAATGAATGCTTCAAGCCACAGGTTGAGCAGATTGTCCTGGGACAGCGGGTGTTTCGCAGCACCAACCTGGACGCACAGCTGGTGAAGGAACTGATGCAGTGTTCCTCAGACCTGAATGAGTTCCCCACTGTTGTGGGCAACACCATGTGCACCTTGGACTTTTATGAGGGTGAGAGGGAGCGAGGGCATGTCTGGCCCAGGGAACCCTTGCGCACCCAAGCCTGCTTTGTGATGGTGTGGTGCTGTCTCTGGGTCACCCTCGTGTGGCCTGCTAAGCCTGTCACAGTATTTCCGTGATGGCTCTATTAGTGATCTGAGCAGCTCTCCACTCCTTGAAGACAGGCAGGCGGGTCCTCCATTCCTGTGTCTTGATGGCATGTGTGTAGCATGGTGCTCAAGTGTAGTAGGCTCTGACTATGTGGTTCTGTCTTCGTGTACTGCAGGACAAGGCCGTCTGGATGGTGCCATCTGCTCCTACACAGAGAAGGACAAACAGGCCTATCTGCAAGCAGCCCATGCTGCAGGTGTCAGGAATATTGAGATGGAATCGTCATTGTTTGCCACCATGTGCAGTGCCTGTGGCCTGAAAGGTAGGAAGACACCTGGTGGCCTTAGTGGCCTTTGTCTGTCGTATTTGCTAGCACATCCCAGAGGGACCCTCCTGAGAGTGCCTGCCTCAGTGTTGATTTCTCACTTGTGTCCACCTTGGTCATCCTTTGACATCAAGGTGTCATCCCTGCAGCCCTGCTACACGTACAGTGTCACACAGCAAAGCATAGGGTCCCCAGTGTTCTTGCAGGGATTTCCCTTGCCTCTGAGAAGGGTCACAAAGATGGCGATGCCCTATCCAGCTCAGATAGAAAGCTGCCCCAGCCCTGCCAAGGGATTGACTTTCAGGACTGTTTGCCTTTCTGAAGAGCTAATCCCATTGTATAGTCTAGACCTGAGCATCTTTTCAGCCAAATTATGTCTCAGAACTTTCTGTGCCCCATGGTCTGGGACAACGTATGTCCTGCAGGGCTGCACAGGACAGCCAGAAGCTGGCTCTGGAACTGGCTGGAATTTCTTTTGGCAACAAAGGCAAAGGGAATAGGTGATGTTAGATGGGGAATTGCCAGAGTTGCTGTAGGCTGTGTCTTCCTTCGTGGTGTCCTGCTCCATTCACAGAGCCCTTCTGTCCCTAGTGTGCACACTGAGCTCCCTGGTTCTGGCATTCCTACCCAGTGGCTAAGGAAGGTGTCTGATCTTGCCTTGATGAGACTTTTCTCTTTGCAGCGGCTGTGGTGTGTGTCACCCTCCTGGACAGACTGCAAGGGGACCAGATCGACACCCCCCATGATGTGCTGGTGGAGTACCAGCAGAGACCTCAGCGGCTGGTGGTCCACTTTATCAAGAAAAGCCTGGGAAAGGCCTGAGGCTCTGCTCTTCACCACTCAGGACAAGCCGGTGCAACTCCTGGCCAATAAATCTATTTTTCATATCCTACTCGGTGGTTTAGTGTCCACTTTACATAAGAACAAATGGAAGTGGGCCACATTTGACACTGTTCAGGACCATTCTAAGTAAATGGAAGCTTCCAGGTTTTTATTTCAAAGGTGGTCATTTTCTTCAAAGGTGGCAATTGTGCCACAAAACAGATTTCTCTATGCATTTTAAAATGTCTATGCAGCCATCCCTTGATAGCTGCAGACAGGATTCAAGGCTGACAGGAGCCTGTTGTCGGGGAGAGGAGCGCAGGTGAGCCATCCAGAACCTGAACTGTACTTTCTCGTGGGACTTGGTTACACTTTTTGTGACTTTTTCCATATTCCCATTTGTTGATAGCCAATCTCGGGGCGGACACAGGTGGTGCTGTACCACCCTCTGGTGTTCAGTCTAGGCAGTGCAAGTTTTCTGGCCAGAAATTAAAAGGCTTGCTGGACCCTGGTGGGTAATGGTGTCCAGCAGCTTTATTGGCCCGTTCAGGGCCTGATTTGCAAAAAAGGCAGCTCAACTGCATCTCATTTGCATCTGTTGAGCACCAGTGTGCTTCTGCTGTCACAGTTGAGCTTGTGGACACTTACTGTCAAACAGGTCACTGATTTTCTCCACATACCACCAAAGATGAAGCCCCTCTCTCGCCTACACTGGCTCCGAATTTCCATCTCTGGCGCACTCTGGCCACTGACTTTGTTCACTGGGGAGCTCTTCTTCCCACTACCTGGCCTCAGTCTCCTTCACCCCACACTCCGTTCCCAGTGCTGACAATAAGGAGACTTTCCTGCAGGAGAAATGACACCAACTTGGCGTCTTCCCTCAGCAAGTTACGTAGAATCAGGAATGTGGCTGGGTTTGTCCTTGAAGGATCAATTCCTCAGGGCATCCTTTGGAGATGGGCTCAGAATGGCATCCCCGGACACCAAATCACAGCTGCTAATCATTTTTGCAAGTAGAAATGTAAAAATGCTGCCGGTGACACTCTAGACTTTATCCCAGAAAACATGGCATTTTCCCCCCCATGTCTCCATGATGAGGAAGCCCACTGCTTCCTATATCCCTTCTTTCTGTGCAGCCCAATCCTGTAACAGTAATAACAGTGTCACCCATCAGAAGTGAAGGGAAATGATGGTGTGTATCTTTGCCACAAATCTTAGCATTAACCAAATTTAACCTGTACAAACATGTATGATTTGATAATTCACCTGTTGTCCTAAGCCTGCTGCCTTCACTGCATAGAAAAAGCTTACACGGCTCAGAAAATGTGGAAAAGAATGTTTATAGTAGCAATGTTGGTAACCACCCATGTGGCCAAAAGCAGATGTGTACAGTTTGATGTCCTTAAGTGAATGCAGACAGTGTCCTGTGTAATGTAAAACGACCTCAGACAATGAAACTAAATTGCTGTACTCACCATCATTTCCCTTAGAAACAGGCATAACAAATGATACTACATCACGTGATTAAAAACTAGAGACAAGACACCCCAGCAGAAATGGGGAAGGTATCTCTGGGAATCTTAGTGGGGAAGGTGGGCTGCACTTGGGAGGTTCTGTAACTTCTCCAGAACACTAGGACAGTTCTTTTTTACACATTAGAATTTGCATGTATATGCTGTTTTATTATTTTTATACATAGTTACATGGTCATCATAAACAACCTGGCAGATGAGATGCCACCCAACTTGTCACAACCCTGGCTTCCAGCTGTGGTTTTAAAATAAGCCCTATAGAGTCAGCAAGCATCACAGGGATACCTGTTTTTCATTAAGTATTTTCCAGTTAACAGGTGCAACTGTGCAGACCAATTGTTAAAAGTAGTAACTAATATTGACCAAGAAATTGTGGCTTGCAAGGTCTATGACCCATACTTCAGCAACCTCATTACCCCCAAATGTCAGATGCCATTGAGGCCTCAGGTGGATGAAGGCTCAGGTTCACGACATCTGAGAGAAGGGAAGTTCAATTAAGGGGATGCTTCTGTAAGATGGGGCTATGGGCAAGCCTGTAGGCATTTTCTTAATTAGTAATTGATGGGGCAGGGTCCAGTCCATTGTGCAGTCCAGCCCACTTGGGCTGGTGATCCTGGGTTCTATAAGAAAGCAGGCTGAGCAGCCATGGGAAGCAAGCCTGTAAGCAGTCCCCCCTCCAGAGCTCTGTCCAAATCCTGCCCTGTTTGAGTTCCTGTCCTGGCTACCTTCCCTCCCCAAGTTGCTTTGGTCATGGTGTTTTATCAAAGTACTAGTAACCCTAACTAAGACACTGTTTCTGAAAAGCTTATCTGGGGATGTGGGAAGCTGTCTTTGTGGAGCTGCAATTGGAGACAGCTGACTTGCCCCAGGCTCATACAGAGAAGGGGAGTGTGGATTAAGAAAGGCTAGCTAAAGACATTAAATGGGGATAGATATGAGGTGGGCAATTCAGTGAGTACTGAACACCCTGAGTTTATTTTTCACCATTCTTAAATACCTTAACTGAAAAGGAGAACATGGTCTCATGTATATGGAACACTGGCTGCCTGGAAGGAAGGGCCTAGCTTCCCATACAGGTGTTGGAGATTTAACTTTACTCATCAGGGATGTCCTGGATGGTGCTGGTTAAATGGGTTGTGGGAGCTCACAGGGAGCCAACTCATTGCTGGAGTGGGTATCAGGATGTTGGCTGAATCCTTACATGAAAGTTAACGTGGTCACTGATGTAGACTGTAGTTGTGTTGTGTATGAAGTTATGTACAAATTTTAGGACTGTCAAGGGCTTTGGTGGGAACAGATTTGGATGCCTGGGAGGGGGTGCTTCCGAAGTCAGCGCAGAACTCTTCCTGAAGTACCCTGGTTCTCTGTGGGGTCCTGCGACAGCCATGGGAGGACAGAACAGGTGGAGGGCCCCAGGAAGAAGATCTTTACCTCACTCCATCCCTTCTTCCTACAGATGGACCTAGTGAAGTGCAGGGAGGCCTCTTTTGGGGGCTTGATGTTATGAGGGGCATGTGGCAAGAGTCCAATTCTTCCTCAGGGAACATCATTTCTTTCTGTGGGACCGGTCTTTGTTCCTGTTGTCCTTCTGGATCTGTGCTCCTCTGATAACCTGTCACTAGCTTCTAAGGGACAGATCCCTGTGCTCCTGCCATTCAGCTTGCTAGAAACAGACTGGTGCCATCTTATTATGTGTACTCTGGGTTGCGCTTCCCTTGTTACACCATTGAGGATACTCTATGTCAAGTGAGGTTCCCACTGGGACAGGATCCAGAGCAGCTTGCCTCAGGAGAGGCATCCAGTGCTCAAGAGAGGTGGGAGTGTTCAGAGGGGCCAGCCAGAACTGGGAGTTCCCGGTGTCATCCAGATGGTCAGCTGGGAAAGAGGCAAACAGAAGAGAAAGTGGCAGAAGACACGAGGGTACACATGGCACTGGCTGTCACTTTGTGATACTAGGTGGTAAGGTGGTAGGTGAGAATGCCCTCAGGGGCAGTGTGGTATGAACTGGGGTCTCTTTCTGGGTCCCCCAAAGGGTGGGGTTATTGGTTATCCTAATGGCAAAAGAGGACACGCTGGATCTAGAGACTGAGATCCGAAAGAAGTGGGAAGAATAGGGTACACTTGTGTCACAGTCTTGGCTACCACCAGGGCGGCACTGACTGGGCACAGCAAAAGCAGCCCCTGAAAACCCACAGTCTCTACTACACAGCTACTCTTTCCATTTGTGCCTGTGTTTCTCAAGCCCCACCCCATGAATCTGTGGACCTTTCCCATGAACACTATCATTAGTGGAAGCCAAGTATCTCAAGGCACTTAGCAAAACATCATACTGGGTGACATAACCATGTGATTGATGTCTCACAGTGCTGGTGCTAGAAGCTCAAGATCAAGGTCCAGGCAATACTGGTTTCCCTCCTAGGGTTTCTCCCCTGACCTTGGAGATGGCCTCTTTTCCCTACGTGTACCTGTGTCCTCATAGATGGAGACTGTTCAATGTTTGTGTACCTGTGTCTTCACTGATAAAATGAGATCAGGGACACGTCTTCCTAAGTCAATTGGTCAAACCATGGTATGTCATCTAGATGCTTAAGCTTATTAAATTATGAATCCAGCCTAAGAATTAAATGTCAATAGAAATAAACTTCTTGATTCACATCAAACCTAGTTGTAAAAAAGCAGGTTCTGGGGGTATAATTTGGTTGGTATAGTGCTTGCCTAACATGTCCAAAGCTCTGGTTTTGGTCCTTTGCACCACATGGATAGCATAGTGGCACACACCTATTGTTTGGGCATTGGAGGCAGGGGGATCAGAAGTTCAAGTTCATCCTCAGAAACGCGGTGAGTTGCATGCCTGCCTGGTATACACGGAAAAGGCAAAACAAGGAAGAATCACGTGGTGAGAGGGCTATGCCGGAAACAGAGGAGCACATTTCATGTCTTTCTGCAGTCAGAATGTATGGAATAACAATAAATTCATAAGTGCAGCAGTTTTAAAAAGGTTTTATTATTTGTATTTTATGTATTTGAATGTTTGCTTGCATGTATGTATGTGCAGCACATGCGTGCACAGTGCTGATGGAGAATATAAGAGGACATTGGATTCCATGAACTGGCGGCTGTGTGCCTACGGGTGGGCGCCAAGAACCTAACCTATCTTCTGCTTGAGCAGCAAGTGCTAGCAACCACTGCAGCTCCAGCTGCAGCAGTCTTAACAGCAGTGATTTGTCAGATAACCCTTGTTTTGGTAACCAGGCTGAGGCAAGTTAGGTTCTTTTATTCTAATCTTAACTACTAGTATCAACTCTTGCATAGTAAATTCTGTCTGTTTATGTACTTGCATATATGTGGTTTATAAAATAATTACAAGCGAAAGAGGTAAAATCAGAGTTCAAAATATTTTAGCAGTGGGACGATGGATGTGTGAGTGAGTCTTTATTGGTAAGGTAATGAACTCAAGACCAGCAGAAGAAGTTGTGTCTGGCACCCCAAGAGAGTCAGAGTTGAGGACAAAGGTGTGGGGGTGAGTCCAGCTTTGAGG